AACAATACAAAATGCAGCATAAACCCTCACTAACAGTAAATTTCCACTACCAACCACACAAAGGTGTTGTCATCTCCCTCTAGGCAAATTACAACATCAACTCCTACTAACTAATTAAATAGTATGTATGCACTGACCAGTAGTTATCTCGCTATACAAACTACCACAGACTGTCAATCGTACAAGTCAAACAGTATACAGTATAGCTCAGCACACAATCATGAGAACAAATAGTATTATTAAAATTAAAAACATAAAGATGGTATCACAATATTTGTAGGATATCCTCTAAGCTTGGTATTCTAACAACATATTCATAGAGCTAGTTAAAGCACGGTTCAGTGAAAGAAATACACTGCTATCAACAACTAGAAAATTCGTCTACCACTATGTACATGAAAAACTATACCCAGTACAGTAAAAGTACATGGTAAAACATCCACAACACAGAGTACATTAAAAAGCGACAACGTATAAATCTACGAAAATCTATAATCGCGCAGATAATGAGATATATCGCAAAAAACAATCTTACCATTCAGTAATTGCCATGCGTTTACGCGTCCATCATAGGCTACTAAGGTAACCCTCCTCAAAAAGCCGCCAAATGGGTCGCCACAAAGTATCCAAATTTACAAGACACAAATCACCCTATCACTTATAAAATACAGACGAAACGCCGTAACTAAAATTACGTCGGCCGAAAATCAGAACAAATGATGACAGATGTCAATTCACACATGTGTAAGCCGAAATACTGACTAGTTCAAGCCGTAAGTAAGTAAGTAAGGGGATTTTATCCGACCTTCAATGGAACTGGCACAACCCGACCACAGGGCCCTGACGATCTATCGTATCAATACATTGACGTCTATGGGGTGTACCGACTATGTACCGGTACATACCCTTACCCTTGCTCAAAATTATAGAATTAAAAATACCTTGTCCAACCCAGTTATGAGTGCTTAAAGACACTGGGCTATTGGAAAATGTCGACCAATTATATATTAATTGTATATTCCCCCAAATTCATGACAAAAAATGACAATTATTGTTTGCTGTGATACCAGACTTCAAGTTACGTCACTCTGCGCATGCGTAGAGCGTCCTCGCGCAGACAGAAATGGCAGTCAGTTAAATGAGAGTGAACCACGCATGCGCAAATTCACACAAACAGCGTCAACTGGTATTACAACGAGCATAAATTGTCATATTTCATCATAAATGCGTGAAATTTGGAATCTGATCACTGAAGCCTGATCTCACACACTTATAGCAATCAGTGTTCAGACAATATCGTGCACCGTATGTTTTCGAAATAACTCCAGTTACGTCCAATACGTCTCCATCTCCCAGCGGCAATTTTTCTTCTTGCCTAGTCCTCTTATTTTTAGAAATCTCCGCCAGGTAACTTGCAAACCAATCAGAAGTCGTCACTGCTGACCCACAGGCCTAATTTAGCATAACCCTAGTTTGTGCTATTCGTCTTGTGTTTGTCTAGTGTTGTTCCTTGTAACCATGGTTTCTAGTTCCCGTGTATTGTCCGTCGTTATGCAAAGGTCTAGGAACTGACAATCAAGTTGTTGACGTAATCATGCCAATGCTATAATTAGTCTGGTGTTCCGCTTACTGCACTCACGAAGCATTCAT